AGGTTTGAGTGTATATATATATATACCTACATACATATACCCTCAACCTCCATTATTCATGATACTAATTGATGCAGTAGTAACTTATGAAGCAGCTAATTGAAAATGCATTCAACGTCTAACTTATGAAGCAGCTAATTCAAAATGCATTCAACGTCTCTTAGATTGAGGCTCTCTCTGGGAGTTGAAGTAGACTGTAGCTACTGGAAGACCAAGATTCAACTGACTCGCAAAATAACGAGTGTTGAAACTGACTCGACTTGGTGGCTCCTCCACCAATCCTATAGGTCCCTTCTGCTCAAAGAGAACCAGTATGAATCGGTGAATCCCCACGGGTGGCTTAGGTCCTATGTAAGGCAGAATCTCATGACCTGAAAGCAACAACATAAGAAAGTTAACTAATATATGTTGATGCCAAAAGTGATAAGAGTTACTGTTATATTCTGGTCAACATGCACAAAATAAACGTGATGTTTCTTTTAAACAAGTGAAATCTTACTATCTGACTCACTCAATGGTCACGGTCACGAAGTTAAGAAATTCAAGCAGCCACTTTCCTCACATGCAAACTATAGGCCACGTGTGTGATTATCACAATACAGTGTGCACTTATTATACAAAAGATGCAAATGTATTATATGAAAAAGTTTTCTGATATGTTATATAGTAGTAATATTTATTCAATAAAATTAGAGACGTATATATTATATATTATTTTAATTTAATATATATATATATATATATATATATATATATATATATATATATATATATATATATATATATATATATATATATATATATATATATATATCACAAAAGAAAAATATAAATGCTTTAACTTAACACAACATATAGTTTCATAAATACCAAATTAAAAACACACATAAATAGAAAAAAATAATGAATGTGAGCCACAAGAGGCCATATAGAAGAAGCACATTGTTCATAGGTTTGAGAGTATATATATACCTACATACATATACCCTCAACCTCCATTATTCATGATACTAATTGATGTAGTAGTAACTTATGAAGCAGCTAATTCAAAATGCATTCAATGTCTAACTTATGAAGCAGTTAATTCAAAATGCATTCAACGTCTCTTAGACTGAGGCTCTCTCTGGGAGTTGAAGTAGACTGTTGCTACTGGAAGACCAAGATTCAACTGACTCGCAAAATAACGAGTGTTGAAACTGACTCGACTTGGTGGCTCCTCCACCAATCTATAGGTCCCTTCTGCTCATAGAGAACTAGTATGAATCGGTGAATCCCCACGGGTGGCTAAGGTCCTATGTAAGGCAGAATCTCATGACCTGAAAGCAACAACATAAGAAAATTAACTATTATACGTTGATGCCAAAAGTGATAAGAGTTACTGTTATATTCTGGTCAACATGCACAAAATAAACGTGATGTTTCTTTTAAACAAGTGAAATCTTAATATCTGACTCACTCAGTGGTCACGGTCAATAAGTTAAGAAATTCAACCAGCCACTTTTCTGACATGCAAACTATAGGCCACGTGTGTGATTATCACAATACAGTGTGCACTTATTATACAAAAGATGCAAATGTATTATATGAAAAAGTTTTATGATATGTTATATATTAGTAATATTTATTCAATAAAATTAGAGACGTATATATTATATATTATTTTAATTTAATATATATATATATATATATATATATATATATATATATATATATATATATATATATATATATATATATATATATATATATATATATATATATATATATATATATATATATATATATATAGCACAAAAGAAAAAATAAATGCTTTAACTTAACACAACATATAATTTCATAAATACCAAATTAAAAACACACATAAATAGAAAGAAGAAATGAATGTGAGCCACAAGAGGCCACATAGAAGGGGTTAATATCCACTCCATTTCTTTGTCCCTCCATTTCTTTCCATTACTATAGTTTTGTGTGTAAATAACACACATTTCTATGACATGTGACATATAATTAATATTTAGTTGATTTTATATACACAAAACTATAGTAATGGGGAAAATGGAGGGACAAAGAAATGGAGTGGATATTAACCCACATAGAAGAAGCACATTGTTCATAGGTTTGAGAGTATATATATACCTACATACATATACCCTCAACCTCCATTATTCATGATACTAATTGATGCAGTAGTAACTTATGAAGCAGCTAATTGAAAATGCATTCAACGTCTAACTTATGAAGCAGCTAATTCAAAATGCATTCAACGTCTCTTAGATTGAGGCTCTCTCTGGGAGTTGAAGTAGACTGTAGCTACTGGAAGACCAAGATTCAACTGACTCGCAAAATAACTAGTGTTGAAACTGACTCGACTTGGTGGCTCCTCCACCAATCCTATAGGTCCCTTCTGCTCAAAGAGAACCACTATGAATCGGTGAATCCCCACGGGTGGCTTAGGTCCTATGTAAGGCAGAATCTCATGACCTGAAAGCAACAACATAAGAAAATTAACTAGTATATGTTGATGCCAAAAGTGATAAGAGTTACTGTTATATTCTGGTCAACATGCACAAAATAAACGTGATGTTTCTTTTAAACAAGTGAAATCTTACTATCTGACTCCCTCAATGGTCACAGTCACGAAGTTAAGAAATTCAACAGCCACTTTTCTGACATGCAAACTATAGGCCACGTGTGTGATTATCACAATACAGTGTGCCCTTATTATACAAATGATACAAATGTATTATAGGAAAAAGTTTTCTGATATGTTATATAGTAGTAATATTTATTCAATAAAATTAGATACGTATATATTATATATTATTTTAATTTATTATATATATATATATATATATATCACAAAAGAAAAAAATAAAAGATTTAACTTAACACAACATGTAGTATCATAAATACCAAATTAAAAACACACATAAATAGAAAGAAGAAATGAATGTGAGCCACAAGAGGCCACATAGAAGAAGCACATTGTTCATAGGTTTGAGAGTATATATATAGCTACATACATATACCCTCAACCTCCATTATTCATGATACTAATTGATGCAGTAGTAACTTATGAAGCAGCTTATTCAAAATGCATTCAACGTCTAACTTATGAAGCAGCTAATTCAAAATGCATTCAACGTCTCTTAGGCTGAGGCTCTCTCTGGCAGTTAAAGTAGACTGTAGCTACTGGAAGACCAAGATTCAACTGACTCGCAAAATAACGAGTGTTGAAACTGACTCGAATTGGTGGCTCCTCCAACAATCTATAGGTCCCTTCTGCTCATAGAGAACCAGTATGAATCGGTGAATCCCTACGGGGTGGCTTAGGTCTTATGTAAGGCAGAATCTCATGACCTGAAAGCAACAACATAAGAAAATTAACTAATATACGTTGATGCCAAAAGTGATAAGAGTTACTGTTATATTCTGGTCAACATGCACAAAATAAACGTGATGTTTCTTTTAAACAAGTGAAATCTTACTATCTGACTCACTCAGTGGTCACGGTCACGAAGTTAAGAAATTCAAGAAGCCACTTTTCTGACATGCAAACTATAGGCCACGTGTGTGATTATCACAATACAGTGTGCACTTATTATACAAAAGATGCAAATGTATTATATGAATAAGTTTTTATTATATGTTATATAGTAGTAATATTTATTCAATAAAATTAGAGACGTATATATTATATATTATTTTAATTTAATATATATATATATATATATATATATATATATATATATATATATATATATATATATATATATATCACAAAAGAAAAAAATAAAAGATTTAACTTAACACAACATGTAGTATCATAAATACCAAATTAAAAACACACATAAATAGAAAGAAGAAATGAATGTGAGCCACAAGAGACCACATAGAAGAAGCACATTGTTCATAGGTTTGAGAGTATATATATAGCTACATACATATACCCTCAACCTCCATTATTCATGATACTAATTGATGCAGTAGTAACTTATGAAGCAGCTAATTCAAAATGCATTCAACGTCTAAGTTATGAAGCAGCTAATTCAAAATGCATTCAACGCCTCTTAGATTGAGGCTCTCTCTGGGAGTTGAAGTAGACTGTAGCTACTGGAAGACTAAGATTCATCTGACTCGCAAAATAACGAATGTTGAAACTGACTCGACTTGGTGGCTCCTCCACCAATCTATAGGTCCCTTCTGCTCATAGAGAACCAGTTTGAATCGGTGAATCCCCACGGGTGGCTTAGGTCCTATGTAAGGCAGAATCTCGTGACCTGAAAGCAACAACATAAGAAAATAACTAATATACGTTGATGCCAAAAGTGATAAGAGTTACTGTTATATTTTGGTCAACATGCACAAAATAAACGTGATGTTTCTTTTAAGCAAGTGAAATCTTACTATCTGACTCACTCAATGGTCACAGTCACGTAGTTAAGAAATTCAAGCAGCCACTTTTCTGACATGCAAACTATAGGCCATGTGTGTGATTATCACAATATAGTGTGCACTTATTATACAAAAGATGCAAATGTATTATATGAAAAAGTTTTCTAATATGTTATATAGTAGTAATAATTATTCAATAAAATTAGAGACGTAAATATTATATATTATTTTAATTTAATATATATATATATATATATATATATATATATATATATATATATATATATATATATATATATATATATATATATATATATATATATCACAAAAGAAAAAAATAAATGCTTTAACTTAACACAACATATAGTTTCATAAATACCAAATTAAAAACACACATAAATAGAAAGAAGAAATGAATGTGAGCCACAAGAGGCCACATAGAAGAAGCACATTGTTCATAGGTTTGAGTGTATATATATACCTACATACATATACCCTCAACCTCCATTATTCATGATACTAATTGATGCAGTAGTAACTTATGAAGCAGCTAATTGAAAATGCATTCAACGTCTAACTTATGAAGCAGCTAATTCAAAATGCATTCAACGTCTCTTAGATTGAGGCTCTCTCTGGGAGTTGAAGTAGACTGTAGCTACTGGAAGACCAAGATTCAACTGACTCGCAAAATAACGAGTGTTGAAACTGACTCGACTTGGTGGCTCCTCCACCAATCCTATAGGTCCCTTCTGCTCAAAGAGAACCAGTATGAATCGGTGAATCCCCACGGGTGGCTTAGGTCCTATGTAAGGCAGAATCTCATGACCTGAAAGCAACAACATAAGAAAGTTAACTAATATATGTTGATGCCAAAAGTGATAAGAGTTACTGTTATATTCTGGTCAACATGCACAAAATAAACGTGATGTTTCTTTTAAACAAGTGAAATCTTACTATCTGACTCACTCAATGGTCACGGTCACGAAGTTAAGAAATTCAAGCAGCCACTTTCCTCACATGCAAACTATAGGCCACGTGTGTGATTATCACAATACAGTGTGCACTTATTATACAAAAGATGCAAATGTATTATATGAAAAAGTTTTCTGATATGTTATATAGTAGTAATATTTATTCAATAAAATTAGAGACGTATATATTATATATTATTTTAATTTAATATATATATATATATATATATATATATATATATATATATATATATATATATATATATATATATATATATATATATATATATATATATATATATATATATATATATATATATATATATATATCACAAAAGAAAAATATAAATGCTTTAACTTAACACAACATATAGTTTCATAAATACCAAATTAAAAACACACATAAATAGAAAAAAATAATGAATGTGAGCCACAAGAGGCCACATAGAAGAAGCACATTGTTCATAGGTTTGAGAGTATATATATACCTACATACATATACCCTCAACCTCCATTATTCATGATACTAATTGATGTAGTAGTAACTTATGAAGCAGTTAATTCAAAATGCATTCAATGTCTAACTTATGAAGCAGTTAATTCAAAATGCATTCAACGTCTCTTAGACTGAGGCTCTCTCTGGGAGTTGAAGTAGACTGTAGCTACTGGAAGACCAAGATTCAACTGACTCGCAAAATAACGAGTGTTGAAACTGACTCGACTTGGTGGCTCCTCCACCAATCTATAGGTCCCTTCTGCTCATAGAGAACTAGTATGAATCGGTGAATCCCCACGGGTGGCTAAGGTCCTATGTAAGGCAGAATCTCATGACCTGAAAGCAACAACATAAGAAAATTAACTAATATACGTTGATAGCAAAAGTGATAAGAGTTACTGTTATATTCTGGTCAACATGCACAAAATAAACGTGATGTTTCTTTTAAACAAGTGAAATCTTAATATCTGACTCACTCAGTGGTCACGGTCAATAAGTTAAGAAATTCAACCAGCCACTTTTCTGACATGCAAACTATAGGTCACGTGTGTGATTATCACAATACAGTGTGCACTTATTATACAAAAGATGCAAATGTATTATATGAAAAAGTTTTATGATATGTTATATATTAGTAATATTTATTCAATAAAATTAGAGACGTATATATTATATATTATTTTAATTTAATATATATATATATATATATATATATATATATATATATATATATATATATATATATATCACAAAAGAAAAATTAAATGCTTTAACTTAACACAACATATAATTTCATAAATACCAAATTAAAAACACACATAAATAGAAAGAAGAAATGAATGTGAGCCACAAGAGGCCACATAGAAGGGGTTAATATCCACTCCATTTCTTTGTCCCTCCATTTCTTTCCATTACTATAGTTTTGTGTGTAAATAACACACATTTCTATGACATGTGACATATAATTAATATTTAGTTGATTTTATATACACAAAACTATAGTAATGGGGAAAATGGAGGGACAAAGAAATGGAGTGGATATTAACCCACATAGAAGAAGCACATTGTTCATAGGTTTGAGAGTATATATATACCTACATACATATACCCTCAACCTCCATTATTCATGATACTAATTGATGCAGTAGTAACTTATGAAGCAGCTAATTGAAAATGCATTCAACGTCTAACTTATGAAGCAGCTAATTCAAAATGCATTCAACGTCTCTTAGATTGAGGCTCTCTCTGGGAGTTGAAGTAGACTGTAGCTACTGGAAGTCCAAGATTCAACTGACTCGCAAAATAACGAGTGTTGAAACTGACTCGACTTGGTGGCTCCTCCACCAATCCTATAGGTCCCTTCTGCTCAAAGAGAACCACTATGAATCGGTGAATCCCCACGGGTGGCTTAGGTCCTATGTAAGGCAGAATCTCATGACCTGAAAGCAACAACATAAGAAAATTAACTAGTATATGTTGATGCCAAAAGTGATAAGAGTTACTGTTATATTCTGGTCAACATGCACAAAATAAACGTGATGTTTCTTTTAAACAAGTGAAATCTTACTATCTGACTCACTCAATGGTCACGGTCACGAAGTTAAGAAATTCAAGTAGCCACTTTTCTGACATGCAAACTATAGGCCACGTGTGTCATTATCACAATACAGTGTGCACTTATTATACAAAAGATGCAAATGTATTATATGAAAAAGTTTTCTGATATGTTATATAGTAGTAATATTTATTCAATAAAATTAGAGACGTATATATTATATATTATTTTAATTTAATATATATATATATATATATATATATATATATATATATATATATATATATATATATATATATATATATATATATATCACAAAAGAAAAAAATAAAAGATTTAACTTAACACAACATGTAGTATCATAAATACCAAATTAAAAACACACATAAATAGAAAGAAGAAATGAATGTGAGCCACAAGAGGCCACATAGAAGAAGCACATTGTTCATAGGTTTGAGAGTATATATATACCTACATACATATACCCTCAACCTCCATTATTCATGATACTAATTGATGCAGTAGTAACTTATGAAGCAGCTAATTCAAAATGCATTCAACGTCTAACTTATGAAGCAGTTAATTCAAAATGCATTCAACGTCTCTTAGACTGAGGCTCTCTCTGGGAGTTGAAGTAGACTGTAGCTACTGGAAGACCAAGATTCAACTGACTCGCAAAATAACGAGTGTTGAAACTGACTCGACTTGGTGGCTCCTCCACCAATCTATAGGTCCCTTCTGCTCATAGAGAACCAGTATTAATCGGTGAATCCCCACGGGTGGCTTAGGTCCTATGTAAGGCAGAATCTCATGACCTGAAAGCAACAACATAAGAAAATTAACTAATATATGTTGATGCCAAAAGTGATAAGTGTTACTATTATATTCTAGTCAACATGCACAAAATAAACGTGATGTTTCTTTTAAACAAGTGAAATCTTACTATCTGACTCCCTCAATGGTCACGGTCACGAAGTTAAGAAATTCAACAGCCACTTTTCTGACATGCAAACTATAGGCCACGTGTGTGATTATCACAATACAGTGTGCCCTTATTATACAAAAGATACAAATGTATTATAGGAAAAAGTTTTCTGATATGTTATATAGTAGTAATATTTATTCAATAAAATTAGAGACGTATATATTATATATTATTTTAATTTATTTTATATATATATATATATATATATATATATATATATATATATATATATATATATATATATATATATATATATATATATATATATATATATATATATATATATATATATATATATATATATATATATATATATATATATATATCACAAAAGAAAAAAATAAATGCTTTAACTTAACACAACATATAGTTTCATAAATACCAAATTAAAAACACACATAAATAGAAAGAAGAAATGAATGTGAGCCACAAGAGGCCACATAGAAGAAGCACATTGTTCATAGGTTTGAGAGTATATATATTGCTACATACATATACCCTCAACCTCCATTATTCATGATACTAATTGATGCAGTAGTAACTTATGAAGCAGCTAATTCAAAATGCATTCAACGTCTAACTTATGAAGCAGCTAATTCAAAATGCATTCAACGTCTCTTAGGCTGAGGCTCTCTCTGGCAGTTAAAGTAGACTGTAGCTACTGGAAGACCAAGATTCAACTGACTCGCAAAATAACGAGTGTTGAAACTGACTCGACTTGGTGGCTCCTCCAACAATCTATAGGTCCCTTCTGCTCATAGAGAACCAGTATGAATCGGTGAATCCCTACGGGGTGGCTTAGGTCTTATGTAAGGCAGAATCTCATGACCTGAAAGCAACAACATAAGAAAATTAACTAATATACGTTGATGCCAAAAGTGATAAGAGTTACTGTTATATTCTGGTCAACATGCACAAAATAAACGTGATGTTTCTTTTAAACAAGTGAAATCTTACTATCTGACTCACTCAGTGGTCACGGTCACGAAGTTAAGAAATTCAAGCAGCCACTTTTCTGACATGCAAACTATAGGCCACGTGTGTGATTATCACAATACAGTGTGCACTTATTATACAAAAGATGCAAATGTATTATATGAAAAAGTTTTTATTATATGTTATATAGTAGTAATATTTATTCAATAAAATTAGAGACGTATATATTATATATTATTTTAATTTAATATATATATATATATATATATATATATATATATATATATATATATATATATATATATATATATATATATATATATATATATATATATATATATATATATCACAAAAGAAAAAATTAAAAGATTTAACTTAACACAACATGTAGTATCATAAATACCAAATTAAAAACACACATAAATAGAAAGAAGAAATGAATGTGAGCCACAAGAGACCACATAGAAAAAGCACATTGTTCATAGGTTTGAGAGTATATATATAGCTACATACATATACCCTCAACCTCCATTATTCATGATACTAATTGATGCAGTAGTAACTTATGAAGCAGCTAATTCAAAATGCATTCAACGTCTAAGTTATGAAGCAGCTAATTCAAAATGCATTCAACGCCTCTTAGATTGAGGCTCTCTCTGGGAGTTGAAGTAGACTGTAGCTACTGGAAGACTAAGATTCATCTGACTCGCAAAATAACGAATGTTGAAACTGACTCGACTTGGTGGCTCCTCCACCAATCTATAGGTCCCTTCTGCTCATAGAGAACCAGTTTGAATCGGTGAATCCCCACGGGTGGCTTAGGTCCTATGTAAGGCAGAATCTCGTGACCTGAAAGCAACAACATAAGAAAATAACTAATATACGTTGATGCCAAAAGT